CGGGGAGCCATGAATCTCAAAGTCTCTGGACCATATGGAGAGCTCCCTGAACATCCAGCCATCCCCATACATCCTGTCTATCTCCATACATCCCCCTCTCTCTACCTATCTATCCATATATTGCTCCTTCCCCGGTCTCTGATCCCCTTCTTCCCTTCCCAGCATTGTCTCCCCTCTCGGCCAGTGTCCCGGGATGACCTCTGCCGGCCACAGCCCTCTGCCACCTGTATGTGAACTGGGCGGGGCCTCCTTTCCTTCTAATTAGTAGAGTGGTTGGAGGGGGGACAAGAGGCTTCTTACAGGAAGGGACTAGCTGGTAGATCCAGGAATCCTGGCCCCGGGAGCTCCAGAGGGGGCTGGGGTAGCTGGACTGGTTTGAAGCCCAAGTAGCCCCACCCTGCCTTTGGACTCATGACTCTGCTTTTAGCCACCACTAGGCAGCCAGATAAGAGTGGAAGGGGGGACTAACCTCCACCCCTCCCCAAGATCATACCTTCCTTGCAGGGCACCACTGCTGAAGGGAAGAGCACAGCCTCCAGCTGGGGTGCCCAGGGAGGAGGGGCTGAACCAAGACTGTGCATATGAACTAAGTTCTAGCACCTCCCATGGTTACCCCAATAATGCACCTCTCAGCCACCCCATAAACTCCAGTCCCCCTTTCCTCAGACTGTTGGGGGCTTCCTGGGGCAAGATGTTCTGGAGCGGAGGGGGGAGGGGGCAGAAGCACAGGGGTTGGGGACCAGACCCATCCATGAGGACTCCACACCCAGCATTGGAACCAGGGCTGGCTCCAGCATTTCTGCCGCCCCAAGCAAAAAAAAAAGCCGTGATCGCAATCGTGAACAGCGGTGGCAATTGGGGGAAAAAAAAAGCCGCGATCAGCGGCGGGAGTTCGTCGGCAGGTCCTTTGCTCCTAGAGGGAGTGAGGGACCTGCCGCCCCCTAATTGCCGCAGGTGCCACCCCTCTCCCTTGGCCGCCCCAAGCACCTGCTTGTTAAGCTGGTGCCTGGAGCCGGCCCTGATTGGGAACCCCCAAGAAGACCTGGAAGACCAACACCCCCCAGTCCAGCTGCCTCAGAGCCAGTAACCTCCCACTCCTCGCCCCAAACAACACGGCCTCCACCAATTCATGGCCTGCATTAAGAAAAACTGGGTTCTCACTAGCTCCTTCCATATCAGGGGACCCAAGGTCTGTACAGCCTGTGAATGCTCAGGCACTGAGATGCAGCCACCTCTGCGGTGGGGCACAGAGGAATTTATACAGGGAACCCTCACCTGGTGCTGAAATGCAGCCACCTCTAGTGAGGAGTGCAGAGGAATGTGGGATCCCTCGGCTGGTGCTGAGATGGAGCCATCTCTGGGGCACCAACATTGAACAAGAGTTTAGTGAATAATCCTGTAGTGTAGTCAATCCAAACTACAGCATTTGTGGCACAGCGCCCCCTAGTGCCACACAGAGCCATTGCTGCTGGCACTGAGTGGCGATCACCTCCCACTGAGCCCCTACCGTGTTCCCTGCAGCACAGCGACCCCTGGTGCCACACAGGGGCTCTAGGTTCAGCACCAACAACTCAGGGGAATGCCCCAAGCTGAGGCCCCACCCCACTCCCTGCATTTCCCCTGGGCTCTCCCAGGCTTTCATCTGCAGATTTGGTCTCTGACACACACACACCCCACTGTCCCCACTGGAATGGGTGCACTGGCTCCTTAAATATCCTTGCCAGTCCCGGCGCAGGACCTGTGGGCACCTCAGGAAATGACTGTTTCCAGATAATTATAAGCTGTGCTGGGCCCTGCCTGCTGTGGCCGGGTGAGCTCACTCATCCCTAGTTATAGGCATGTAGACAGGATGGGGGGGACAGGGCATGGAGAGGCTAGGGGGAGTGGGCAAAGGAGTCGGGGAGAGGGGCAGAGAAGTGAGTCAGGACTCAAGCTTTCTATTCCATTTCTATTGAAGGGGGGAGCCGAGTCCAGTGGTTAGAGTCAGGGAGGCCGGGGCTGGGCTCTATTCCCAGCTCTGGGCGGGGGTGGGGTCCAATGGTTAGGTACTATTATCCCTCTGCAGCCCTGAGTAGATGCCATTGGCCCTGCCTCAGCTGGCGCACCCAGCTCCTATTTGTGGTGTTTCCAGCGTGCCCTGCTTGGAGAGACTGGTACTAGGCACCTGCTGAAGGTTGGCCTGGGTTCCCACCAGAGAGAGACCTTCAGTGAAGGACACCAAGTGACGCCTGGCAGACGCGCTGGCTGAGCTCGAGGAAATGCGCTGTGGTATGGGGTAGCCACCTGAATATACGCTACCAGCTGCTGTGTAGACGTCCCCTTCGGGGGTCCTGACTCCCCACACTCCGGCTCTAACCACTAGACCAGGGGTGGGCAAACTTTTTGGTCCAAGAGCCACATCGGGGAATAGAAATTGTATGGTGGGCCATGAATGTTCAATAAATCGGGGTTGGGGTGCAGGAGGGGTGAGGGCTCTGGTTTGAGGTGCAGGCTCTCGGGTAGAGCTAGGGATGAGGAGTTTGGGGTGCAGGAGGGTGCTCTGGGCTGGGACCGAGGGGTTCAGAGGGCGGGAGGGGGATCAGAGCTGGGGCAGGGGTGTGGGAAGGGAGGCAGGTTCTGGCTCGGGGTGTGGGCTCTGGGGTGGGGTTGGGGATGCGAGATTTCAGGTGCAGGAGGGTGCTCCAGGCTGGGATTGAGGGGTTGGAGAAGGGGAGGGGATCAGGGCTGGGGCAGGGGGTTGGGGAGAGGCTCAGGGGTGCAGGTACCGAGCAGCGCTTACCTCAAGCGGCTCCCAGAAGCAGCAGCATGTCCCTTCTCCAGCTCCTATGCGGAGGCATGGCCAGGCGGCTCTGCACGCTGCCCCATCCGCAGGCACCACCCCTGCAGCTCCCATTGGAGTGCTTAGGAGCCAGAGCGGGGCCATGTGCAGCTTCCGGGAGCGACGTGGTGCTGCCCTGACCCTGCACCCTGGCTGGAGCCCTGAACTAGGGCTGAGCCACGTGGTGCGGCCCAAACCCTGCGCCCTGGCTGGAGCGGGGCAAGCCCCAGACCCCGCTTCCCAGCGGGAGCTTGTGGGCCAGCTTAAAACAGCTTGCAGGCTGGATCTGGCCCCTGGGCCATAGTTTGCCCACTCCCGCCCTAGACACACCACTCTGCCCAGAGCTGGGAATAGAACCCAAAAGTCCTGACTCCCAGCCCCCTTTGCCTGAACACTCCTCTCCCAGAGCCAGGAATCAGGGCTGATGAGAGCAGTGGAAATAGGGTGACCAGATATTCCAATTTTATAGGGACAGTCCCGATTTTTGGGTCTTTTTCTTATATAGGGTCCTATTACCCCTCACCCCCTGTCCCGATTTTTCACATTTGCTGTCTGGTCACCCTAAGTGGAAAGGGGGGACAACTGTACTGGGCCCCCCAAACATCTGTAACTGGGGTGAAATGGGAGGGGGTGGGACCCCAGCGAACATGATGTATTGGAGCCCCAATTTCTCTTGATGGGCCTACCAGGAACAGAAACAAGGAGTCCTGACTCCCAGCTACCCTGCTCTAACTACTAGCCCCACTTCCCTTCCAGATCTAGGATCTGATTGCAGGCTCTGGGATATAGATGCAATGCAGGGCAGGGGGCCAGAACACACAGGGTGAAGCTTTCGCAGCCCTCCGTCCTGATCCTGGCCCTGTCACACGGCCCCATCCACATCCTCTGTGCACTGGGGGAGTGAGACGAGCAGGGAGCCAGGTCCCAGCAGCCACGGCTGTGGGTATCAGGCACCCGTCCCCACACATGCCCTCCGCCCCCGTGAGTACCAATAGTACGTGATAGTTAATAGTTCATTTCCTTGCTGTAGTTCCCAGATCCCTGGAGCAAGGGGGAGCAGGTTGGGCTTTTTATCCCTCGGCACTTTCAATCCCAGAATCTCAGGTCCCAGCACAAGGCTGTGATATTTGAGTGGCAAAGGGGGAAATTTTCCTTCCCAAACACCCGCTCCACTGATTCACATCCAAACATCCCTGTTGAATGAATCCCAGCTCACACGCCCCATCTGATTGTCTCCAGAGATGGGTTGTGCAGAGTAGCTGGGGGCTAGAATTTCACCCAGACAATAACAGGCTTTGAGACCATTACAGCCTCTGCCTGCTGCAATGATCCACTTCCTTGAGAACATAAACAAGAGCTTTTTAATAAGCCCTTTTCCTCCCATGACAAAACCCAGCATTTAGCACAGCTCCCAGAGGGTTTCTAACCCACCTTGCTGAACATTTTTCAATGCAATGATTGGTCGCACCATTGTTCTTGTGCAGTGTTGCTGTGTGCTGTTAAACGCCTGCCGTGTTCCACCCCAGAGCTGGCTGCATTTCAGTGTTGTGTGAATGATCCCTGTATAGAGTCACTGCATGCTGTTAAACACCTGCTGCTTCCCACCGCAGAAGTGGCTGCATGCATTTCATTTTCGGGGAAGGAAGTGATCCTTATAAATAGTTTGCAAAGTACCTGGCATGACAGAAGCTGCAGAAATGTTAGATTGTTATCGCACACGTTGAAATCTTCTCCGGTCCGTGAGCAACAGCCATGGGCTGACTTCAAACCACAGTTCCGGTGAGAGATTAAATAATCCAATAATTGTAATGTGCAGTTACCATTCCTGTAACCTGACGAGCCAAACTCCTTTACAAAAGGGAGTGGTACTGCCCACACGCACAACTAGGGAATCGGAGGCAGAGAGAGCAGAATGGATGCCTAGTGAGACTGGCAGAGATGCAGGAGTCCTGGCTCCCAACCCCCTGCTCTCACCACTAGCCCCCACTCCCCTCGCGGAGCTGGGGACAGAACCAGAGTCCCGAGTCCCAGCTGTGCCCAGCGCTCCCCTCTCCCTGGCTGTTCTGTTTGGGGTGGGTCGCTGCCGCTTTGTGGCTAGTGCCGGTGGAGGCGCCGCGTGTTTGCTCTGCCCCAGGTCTCCTCCCTCCCCAAACCCAGCCCAGTGCCGGGGCTGGGCCGGAGCTCGTCAGGCAGGGTGAGTCACTCCCGCACCGGGGGTGTATGTCAGGGTGCTGAGGCAGCAGGCACCCCTGCAGGAGCCCGTCACCGCCGCACGGGGCGGGGGGCGCAGCGGGATCCCCCGGGCCGAGCCCCGGGGAGGCAGCAGGCTGGGCAGTGGGAACGGAAAGCTGGTAAGTTACACGGGCAAAGCGGGTGGGGGGAGTGGTAGGAACACTTCCCCCACCCCCCCACCCCGCATAGCGAGAATCCGGATTCCACTCACCCAGGATGGGAGGAGGAAAAGGGGGGGATCCGGATCCCCTCCCGCAGGAGGAAGGGGGGAATCTGAATTTACACCTGGCGGGAGGAGAGAGAGAATCTGGATTTACTCCCCAGGAAGGGAGGAGGAATAGTGAGGGCAGGAAGACAAGGAGGAGTCCGGTGGCACCTTAAAGACTAACAGATTTAGTTACCTTTCCCTCCTCTCCCTTCTCTTCGTCTGCCAATATAGATTTCTGCCTGCATCTGTAATTTTCACTCCATGCATCTGAAGAAGTGGGTTTTTTATGCATGAAAGCTTATGCCCAAATAGATCTGTTAGTTTTTAAGGTGCCACCAGACTCCTCGTTGTTTTTGTGGCTACAGACTAACACGGCTACCCCCTGATACTTGGGGGCAGGAAGGGAACTTTAGTGGGATCTGGATTTGCCCCTGGGTGAGATGGGGCAGTTGGGGCTTGTCCCAGGAAGGGGTGGGGGTTGGATCCCCAAGGAAGGGGGAGAGGGGAATTTGTCCCTAGGAAAAAGTGGACCATTTTTTGGGGGGTGGGGAATCTGATTTACTTGGGGGCGGAGGGGCTGGAAGGGTTTGCACCTATAGGTGGGGTAAGCAAGTGCTTGTTTGCCTCGGGAGGGAGAGTTTTTTGGGGGGTGCAGATTTTCATCTGGGGGTTGGGGAGGAGAATGTGGTGTTTCCCCAGGAAATGCATCCTGCCCCCCCATGGCCTGTTTTGTGGGACCCCATTTCACTTCCCCTCATCCCTACCAGCCCCCCCAGAGAGGGGCAGGCCTCAAGCCACATCCCAGAGCATGTGTGAAAAAGTGAGGGGTGAAAAAGAGGGGGCTGGGGTGCCTGGGGGTTGGGTATGGCTGGGGACGCGGGGCCTGGGTAGGGGTGCCCAGGAATGGGTAGGGGCCCTGGGCATGGCTGGGGGTGCCCAGAAAAGGGGCGCATGGGGATGGGTAGGAGGTGCCTAGGGGCTGGGCATGGCTGGAGGTGCCAGGAACGTATGGGAGGGGGAATGGGAATGGCTTGCTTGGAGCCTGGGTGTTGCTGGGATACCTGGGAGGATGAGGGGCCGGAGCTGGGCAGAGGCCGAGGAGGAAGGGAGGAAGAAGACCTCTCCTCTGGAAGTCCCCAAGTGCTGGCTCCCTGGGGAAGGGGGCGGGTGTGCGCTCAGACAGCCCCTGGGACTCGCTGATCACCCCTGCTGCAATGGGGCCGATCCAGGTGACGGTGGGGGAGGCTCCTCCTGGGCAGCAATGCCCCTGGCTGCTCGCAGAATGAACCTCTTGGTGCCTGCATGCTCGGGCCGTGGGGCCTCCTGCTCTGGATTGAGGTTCCCCGGCCTCCCTTCCCCCCTACCAGGGCTCCCCATGCCAGAGGCTCTGTGTGTACCCCCTTCTCCCCTTGCACTGATGCCAGGGGCTGTGTGCACCCATCCCCCCACCCTCTTTCTGTCTGGGAGATCTGACATTCAGGATGCCAGCTGGGTACCTGGGGGGAGAATGCGCAGAGATGAGTTGGGGTGTTAGAAGGAAAGTCGTTACTGGGGCCATCAGCCAGTTCTCTGAGACACAGACAATCACAGAGGTGCTGGAGGCTGTGGCCGTGCTGCAGAGGTGGCAGGGGCTCCATGGGTCCCCCCTTTTGGTTTTCTGATCTCCCCAAAATCCATTGGGTTCTGCCCTTTGATGCATTTTGGGATGCTCTAAGGACTGCAGCAAGACAGGGGCGCTGGATGAGTCCTGATCCCTGCAGGGCCTAGAGGATGCTAACTGGGCCTCCCGAACTGCCCCTCAGAGGCTGGAGGGGGAGATCATATACTCACAGCTGCCCATGCTGGACAAGGGTTCCAGGGCTGCCCCCACAGGTACTGCCGCACCCCCTGGCTTGAAGTGGTTCCCATCATATACAGGGTTTACAGTTTGGTTCAATGGCTCTCAGCCCCCCCACTATACAAATTGTTCCAGGACACCTTGGCTGCCCCAGTTTGGCAGTAGGGGCAGCTACCAATGCCTCTTCCTTCCCCTGTGGGGACCTTCCCAATGTCAGGATCCCTGAGAGATCCAGTTGATCGTAAGCTCCAGGGATGCTGGAGGAATCAGGTTGTTATGTTCTGGGTCTTATTTCACTAGTAATGCCTGGCTTAGCCAAACATGAATCTCAGATGTAAAGACACTGGTGTGTATGTGTGGGAAAGATGGGGTTATGTAGGTATACCCACTGCCACCCTTTGCTGAATGGAATCAGGGTGTCATAAGGCCTATATTGCTAATGGTGATTCTCCTCTGTCAGAGCAGAAGGATATGGGATCTGTCCCTGCTCTGCAGCATAGTGACCCCCACCCCCCAAAGCCCTAGTTGGCAGCAGGTTTGTGCCAGTGCTCAGCTCTTCGCCTTTTCCCAGGGGAAGGGAGTTGCCCAAGGCTACACTTCGGGTCAGTGGCGGAGCCGAGAGTTGACTCCAGGGGTTCCTGGCTGTGTGCTTGGGCGCTAGTACCTTGTGCCACATGCCAGCCCCCCACACCCTCACTCCTAGGGAATTTACCTGGGGAGAAGGATAGTACTGGCCCTGGGAGGTGTGTATTGTCTACTGGTTAGAGTGTGTGTGGGGGGGAGGACTCCTGGGTTCTATACCCAGCTCTGGGAGGGGAGTAGGGTCTAGAGCAAGGGGGGCTGGAAATTAGGACTCCTGGCTTCTATCTGCAGCTCTGCATGGGGAGTGTGGAGCAGCAGTCGAAGCAGAGAGTTTCTCCCACTAGAACTTTGGATTTCCCTGGAAAGTTCCAACCCTGCTCTGAAAAGTTCCATAAGTGTCTGAATTCACCAGATTGCCCCAAGCTGCCTTCAGCTTTCTCTGCTGCTCCTGCCCCCCACACCCCCGCCTGCCGCCCAGCGCTGTCCATGGAAACATTTACTCCGCCATGCAGGCACACATACAAACCGCAGGGAAGCAGCTGCAGGGACAACATCCCTTGTGTAAGAGCTGGCTTGGGGGACGCTCCAGCCTGAGCAAAGGGAAAGGCATTTCCTCTGGGGAGCCGGAGTAGCACCCGACTGGGTTGGAGGGGAAATGTCTAGGCAGAGCCGTGAGCTTCCCCGCTGGTCGTTAGTCCCCACATAACACCCGTCTGTTAGTCAATGCAATAAAAATGATCATGCTCTGCCTCCTGCCTATGGGTCACAGCACTGTGCAAAGGTGGTTAAGCCACACAAGCCCTGCGAGGAGTAATGCAGGGTTGTTTGTCCCCTAGAGTTGGGGAAACTGAAGCACAAAGGAGGGAAGGGAATTGCCCAAGATCACAGTGTCAGTGGAAGAGTCTGGAACCCAGGAGTTTTGACTCCCAGCTCCCCTGCTCTAACCACTAGATCCCGCTCCTCTCCCAATGATGGGAATAGAATCCAGGAATGTTGATGGAAAAAACAAAGACTGAATAGGCCACAAAGACTTCTCCCTAAGGGTGTACTCTGAGGGGAGGGGTTGCACGCATTGGCAGGAGGTTGGGGTGTGTATGTGGGCTCACAGAGCTGCTTCCTGGGTGTAGCTGCTCGGGGGAGGGGAGGGCATGAAGATCCTCCCCACCTGGGGCAATCGGGTACGCTTTCACAAGAGCTAAACGATTAATAATCACGTAGGGCACCAATTGAGCAAACTCTGGCTCCATTCCCACCGGAGATAAATCTGAGCTGCAGACCCTATATCTGGATACCTGGTCACTGTGCAGAGAACACCCCCAAAAGGAGGCAGGATGAGGGGTGCAGGACACACCTGAGAGCATTCAGGGGAGTGCAGGGCCAGTGAGATGGAGGGGGGGCTGTTAAACTTCCCATCTCCAGGAGGGGGGTGGGGTCTAGCGCATCAGAGCGGGGTGGGGACCAGGAACCAGGACTCATGGCTTCTATTCCCAATTGGGGAGGGAGGGGGATCTAGTGGTTAGAGCAGGGGAGGCTGGGAGACACGATTCTTGGGTTTTAGTCCCAGCTATAAGATGGGAATGGGAGCTAGGGGTCAGAACATAGGGTGCTGGGAACCAGGAGTCCTGGGTTTTATTTCCACCCTGGGAGGGGAATGGGATCTAGTGGTTAGAGCAGGCTGACCTGGGAGTCAGGACTCCTGGGTTCTATCCCCAGTTTGGAGGTGGGGGGGGGAGGTCTAGGGGGTTTGTTAGAGAGGTGCAGAGGCTGGAAATTATGAATTTTCCCTGCTGCACAACACTGAGACTGGAGTCTGGATTCCAGCCCCCACCCCCAAGTCTGGGTTATTGGGCCAGGCTAGGTAAAGCCCAGCATTGGGATCAGCATCGACCCATCTGCCTCCTGTAACCCTCAGCGAGCGTCACCCCATCTCTGTTGCCTGGGGGAGGCCACAGGGCGTTGCTATGGTGCTTGGAACCCCTGCTCCGAGGTGGTAGGTTCCAGGGCCTGGGCTGGCCGGGACCCCCCATCGCAGGGCGGTTAAGCCCCATCCAGTGCCCTTGGTGCCAGGTGATTGGGCTCATCCTGAGCCAGCAGAGGGGTGAAATCTATGGCTGGCTGGATCAGTTTTCAAAGGGATGCTGGGACTGGTGGGCGAGACTCCCCTTGGCCTTCTCCAAGATCCCACTCCCTGCCCATATTGATGTCCTGAATCAACCTTCCCAATGACTCTGTGAGTAGCCCTCATCCCGTGTCTGAAGGGAACAAAGTCAGGCAGGAGGGGAAAGGTGGCTCAGTGAGACTGGTGTGGGTGACCAGCAGGGAGCGCTGTGCTGCAGGGAGTATGTGTGTGGGGGTGTGTGGGGGGGGCTCTCCTTGGAGTCAGTGCTGACCCCGATGTCTCAGAGCTGCAGTAGGGGGAGCTGTTCTGCAGGAAGCAGGGTGGGGGCTCAGTAAGGGGTGCTCTCCCCTTGCAGTCAGCTCTGGCCCCAAAGCTGCACTGCAGCATGAGACCGAGGCACTGACCTTTTGTGGTTATCAGACTAGCCATTCTTCCCAGGAGTCAGGGTGTGGCCCCTGGTGTCCTGCCCAATTTCTGACATGAGTAATCCCCTTCTGCCTTCCGACATCCTGCCCTGGAACTTCCACTTTCAGAACAGGGCTCTCCTGTCTCAGGCTGGGTTTTTTTTTGGGGGGGGGGGACTGTTAACCAGTGGGTGTGCAAACGATCCATCCCTATGTACAGTGTGTAATGAACTCTGGGATGGTTGGTGTTACGGAGGTGAAAGAGATCAGGGTAGGACAATTCTCTCTCTTGGGCTGGAATCCTGCCCTCTTCCCAGGGGCCAGCTCCCTCCCAATGTCCCACAGCCCAATGACTTTTGCTCCCCAATGTCCCTCTTGCAGTCAGGTAACCCGGTGCTGCCTCCTGTTTTCACAATTGGGCCCCCTTCACTCCACCATATTGACCAAGGATCCAGCAAGCTCACTGGACCTGAGCTGGGATTTGAACTGGGGTCTCTAGGGAGGAGAGGCCTCCACCAGCCTAACCCCACCTTCTCTCTGCAGACAGGATGATCCCAGTAGCTGAGTTCAAGCAGTTCACGGACCAGCAGCCGGCCTTCAAGGTGCTCAAGCCCTGGTGGGATGTGCTGGCCGAATACATCACGGTGGCCATGCTCATGATCGGGGTCTTTGGCTGCACCCTGCAGGTGGGTACTGGGCTGGGATGTGGGCTGGGACCACCCTCTGTGAGACCCCACCCATACAGCAGCAGGGATAGGACCTGGGACCTCTGGATCCTCCTCTCTCTGGAGCTGAAGGAGAATCTCCAGCAGCAGCAATAGAAAGTTCTATCCCCAGAAGTTGATGTGCTCATGCCGGTCAGTATGGTGCCCATAATAGCATGATGCAGACCCCACAAACCGGCCAAGAGCAAGAGTGGAAACAGAGGAGAAGCCAGCTGGCTGGGAAGAACACCCCTTATCCTGTCCCCCTTCTGCCTGTCAAATCGCTGCTGGGGCAAATGGAGTCCCTTGTCCACAGTTGATGCCCTGTTGCATTGTGGGAGGGACATCCGAGCATGCACTCTGCCGTGACGTGAGGTGGCTGGAAGATGCACCCCTGGGGAACTGGGGAACTTTGGATCAGAACCTCTGGGGTTTGGCTCTGAACGGCTGGGTGGGTGAATGCCACCGTCCTCCTGGGAGAGGAGAGGGTGGGCCCAGGGCTCGAGGGAAAGGGGAGCAGGGGAAAGGGCGAGGGCCATCCATACAGATCCTAAGATGGACTTGTCACCATTCCCCCGATCTGGAGGTGTCTGCCTCCCCTGGAGCTGCCCGTCCTCCCAGGAGGTATTGTATCAGTGCAGGTGCTGCCACCCCGCTGCAGGGGATCCGCGCCCAGGCAGGAAGCTCGCCCCAGCATGTCTGGGGTGCGGCTGGATCGCGGGCTGCCCTGGGGAATGGGAGGAAGGTGGGGCACGAAGGCTGTGGCTCAGCACCAGGAATGAAAGGGGCTGAGATGAGATGAGCCCGTCTCGGGTGAGCCTGATCAGAGACAGGCTGCTGAGCTAGATGGGCCCAGTGGGCTGATCCAGGTGGGGGGAAAAGAGAACTGAGAATAGAACCCAGGAGTCCAGATTCCCAGCCCCTCCCCCTTATTCTTACTCCCTTCCAAGAGCTGGGAACAAAACCCTGACTCCTACCCCACCCCTGCACCTCTAACCACTAGACCCCACTTCATAAATGTCGGACTTGAATTTTAGTGGTTAACTGATGGGCCAGCAAACTTTGCATTCTAGGGTGGAATGGGGGGAGATGGGAGACTGACACCCCCCCCCATCTCTTCCCCCTGCATGAGCTACCCCTCCTCCACCCAGCCCTGTTATAGGCTGGTCTGTCATCATCCTTGGATCGGGAGGGTGCTTGGTCACCACCAGATGACGGTCCCCCCGATATTGGGGGAGGAGTCTGTCTATACAGAAGCCAAGCAGCAGGTGCACAAGGCAGCAGCCCTGTTACATCATCTGTCTCTTGTGGCAACAGGGAGAATATCCGTGGCAACGAGTCCCATAGGCAAAGCTCCAGGGCCACTGGGGAGGAGGATGGGAGTGAGATTAGCTCCCTGCTGGCCCCCTCTTGAGTTAACCATTCAGGCCCCTGCCACACTGCCAACCAATGAGATGCCAGGGGGTGGTGGGATCTGCCAGGGAAGTACAGAGAAACCCCCTTGAGATGGTGGCTAGAGCAAGGGGGGCTGTGAGCCAGGTCTTCTGGATTCTCTCCCCAGCTCTGTGAGGGCAGTGGGGTCTAGTGGCTTAGAGCAGTGGGGTGAGGAGTCAGGACTCCTGGGTTCTGTCTCCAGGAGAGGAGTGGGATCTAGGCATGGTGAAGGCAGAGGAGTGGCAGTAGTGGCAGGCAGGACTCCTGGGTTTCATTCCCAACTCTGCCCCTGACTTTTGGGGTGACCTCAAGCAAATCCCCTGTACGCATATGTTCAGACCCTGCTGACACTGGAACCATCAGCACAGCACTCTATTGCTTGAACTAAGCTGAAGGAGCAGCTCCATCAGCTGGCACAGTAGGAGGTTGGTCACCCACATTGCACAGGTGGGTTTGGCTTGCTCAGATCCAGGGGCTGAAGGACAACTTCTGTAACAGGAAGTCATGTGGCCCTGGGGTTGCAGTAACCAGGGGATTTTATTTTGCGTGCCACTGGGCCAGCTTGGGCTCTGCAGAATGAGGGGCAATAATTCTTTACAGCACCCTGATCAGCTCGTCTCTGCTTCCTGCCAGCCGCCCTCCCCTGCTCTCCTACCTAACAACATCACGGCGGGGCCTGTTCCCTTCTGAGTCAGGACTCCTGGGTTGTGATTAGCGATGGCCTGGCTTAGCATGGGCCCTGAATCACAGGAGCTCCTCATGGGGTTGGTGTGTGCCATGTGCACTGCACGCATTCACAGGCTGAACTCATGGGACGCTCTTGCTGTTCTCTAGCTGTAGGGTAAGATGCCGGCGTGAACTAGCATCTCATTGCCCTTCTCTAGTCCCATTTGTCTCAGCCTCACCAGGTGCTTTCGAAACTTGCCACCTCCCTGGAGTTGGTATAATGCCCATTTTATGGAGGTGGAAATGGAGGCACAGAGAGAAGGGAGCAGCCCAAGGGCTTAGAGAGTGTCAGTGGTAGAGCCGGGGATAGAACCCAGGAGTCCTGACTCCTCACCCCACTGGTCTAAGCCATTAGACCCCACTGCCCTCCCAGAGCTGGGGAGAGAACCTAACTCCAAGCACCTGAGCTCTAACTACTAGACATGCTTTCTCACCACCAACTGTGCTTCTTGGACACTGTCTCCTTTGTTCCTGGGGCAGCCCAAGTGGGGCCAGAATGGGTCGTGCCCACTGGTGCTCCAGAGTCGCAGCCCCCTGAGACTGCAACTCCCAGCATACCAAGTGTCACAGAACCCATAGCGTTCCCAAGGTGCACCTCTGCACTGAGGGTGTGCTGGCTGGGCTGCAGCCTGTTCTGGGCGGCACAGTTAGGGGCCACCCTTGGCTTCTGACTCATGGATATTGCATTGGGTGCTGGAGTGTCTAAGCTACCCCCAGGGCTTCTGGGTTGGGCAAGGCTTCGGTGCCCCTGTTATCACTATTGCCCTGACATACGCAGGAATGCAGCCTGCAGTCAGTGCTCAGGGGGCAGAACTGTGCATGGACCATTGCATGACATACAGGGCCAGACCCCCAGTGGGTGTCAATTGGCCAAAGCTCCATGGGAGTCAATGGGGCCAGACCCCCAGCAGATGTCAATCAGCCATTGCTCTATTGGAATCAGTGGAGTCAGATCCCCAGCTATTGTGAATCAGCATCCCCCATCGTTTCCTCACCTGTTCCCCTCTGTGGCCATATCCCCAGGTGACACAGGACAAAATCATCTGCCTCCCCAACCGTGCCCCTGCTGGTGCCCGACTCTCTGACAAAACGTGCCAGAATTTCGCCAGGAAGACTCCCAATGCCTCGGAGCCAGACACACCCCTGTCCTCCCGGGAGATGAGCGGCCTGCGCAACAACCTGGACATCCAGCAGTACAGCTTCATCAACCAGATGTGCTACGAGACAGCCCTGCACTGGTACGCCAAGTACTTCCCCTACCTGGTGGTCATCCACACCCTCATCTTCATGGTCTGTGCCAACTTCTGGTTCAAGTTCCCTGGCACCAGCTCTAAGATTGAGCACTTCATCTCCATCCTTGGCAAGTGCTTTGACTCACCCTGGACTACCCGGGCTCTCTCCGAGGTCTCTGGGGAGAACCAAGACGGGACAAGCTCAAAGAAGGAAGACCGGCGGAGGAAGGCCATCAAGGATGAAATGCCCGAGCCCCACCCTGCTCTACAGCCCGTTCAGTCCATCTCCGAGAAGAAGGTAGCGGAGACTCCTGCGGTCAGCCTGCTGGACAAGAAGGAAGGGGAGCAGGCCAAGGCTCTGTTTGAGAAGGTGAAGAAGTTCCGGCTGCACGTGGAGGAGGGAGACATCCTCTATACCATGTACATCCGCCAGACGGTTCTCAAGGTCTTCAAGTTCCTGATTATCACGGCCTACAATGCCGCCCTGGTGCAGAACATCCGCTTCATCGTGCCCTGCAGCGTGGAGATGGAGGACATGACAGGCTATGACCACTTCTGCTGCAACCACACCAAGGCTCACCTCTTCTCCAAGCTGGCCATCTGCTACATCTGCTTCTTGGGCATCTACGGCCTCACCTGCCTATACACATTGTACTGGCTCTTCCACCGGCCCTTGAAGGAGTACTCCTTCCGCTATGTGCGAGAGGAGACGGGCATCAGCGACATCCCCGACGTCAAGAATGACTTTGCCTTCATGCTTTATCTAATTGATGAGTATGACTCCCTCTACTCCAAGCGCTTCGCTGTCTTCCTCTCCGAGGTCAGCGAAAGCAAGCTCAAGCAGCTCAACCTCAACCATGAATGGACGGAGGAGAAGCTGCGGCAGAAGCTGCAGCGGAATGCCCTGGGCCGCCTGGAGCTCCACCTCTTCATGCTGTCCGGCTTGCCTGACACAGTCTTCGAGCTGACCGAGGTGGAGGCCCTGAAGCTGGAGATGCTCAAGGATGTGACTTTCCCACCGCTGGTGGCCCAGCTTGTCCGCCTCCAGGAGCTCTACCTGCTGAACTGCCCCGTCAAGCTGCCATTTGCCTCCCTGGTCTTCCTGCGGGACCACCTCAAGGTGATGCAGGCCACTTTTGACGAGATCAAGGATGTGCCACTGTGGGTCTACAGCCTGCGCGGGCTGGAGGAGCTCCACCTCTCTGGCCTCTTCAGCCAGGAACTGGGGAGGGCATCCGGCCTGGAGAGCCTGCGGGAGCTGAAGAACCTCAAGGTGCTCTCGTTGCACAGCAACATCTCCAAGGTGCCGCCCAGCGTGACTGACGTCTCAGCTCACCTGCAGCGCCTGTGCATCCTCAATGACGGCACCAAGCTGGTGACGCTCAACAACCTCAAGAAGCTGGTCAACGTGCGGGAGCTGGAACTGGTCAACTGCAACCTGGAGCGCATCCCCCATGCTGTATTCAGCCTGGTCAGCCTGCAGGAGCTGGATCTGAAAGACAACCAGCTACGCTCCATCGAGGAGATCCTCAGCTTCCAGCACTGCCGCAAGCTCGTCTGCCTTAAGCTCTGGAGCAACCACATTGCCTATATCCCTGAGCACATCCGGAAGCTCAAGGGCCTGGAGCAGCTCTACCTCAACCGCAACAAAATAGAGACCCTGCCCTCCCAGCTCTTCCTCTGCACCAAGCTCCGCTGCCTTGACCTCTCCAACAACGGCATCCAGGTTATCCCCCCGGAGGTAGGTGTGCTCCAGAATCTCCAGTACTTCGCCATCTCCTCCAACTCAGTGGAGACCTTGCCTGATGAGCTCTTCTTCTGCAAGAAGCTGAAGACTCTGATGGTGGGACACAACAAGCTCTCCACCCTCTCTCCCCGCCTGGGCAACCTCTCCTTGCTCAGCAAGCTGGAGTTGAAGGGGAACCGTCTGGAGGCCTTGCCGCCTCAGATCGGGCGGTGCCAGGCGCTCAAGCGCAGCGGCTTGGTGGTGGAGAGCACCCTCTATGAGACGCTGCCCACAGACATCCGGGAGAGGCTGGAGAGTGAATGAGAAGAGGGGACAGTCATTAGGGTGACCAGATGTCCCAATTTTATAGGGACAGTCCCGATTTTTGGGTCTTTTTCTTATATAGGCTCCTATTACCCCCCCACCCCTGTCCCGATTTTTCACATTTGCTGTCTGGTCACCCTAACAGTCATCAGCACGGGCAGGCTCTTCGGTCACCTGTAGAAAGACTCTCACAGATGACACGAGCTGGGAAGTGCCTGGTGTGCTCCTAGGCCAGAGCTGCAAAGGCACCTGGGAGATCTCCCACCAAGAGACTTACAAAAGCATCGTCCCCCCGGCCATGGCTAGGGAGGGGCTCAACTTTTCATCCCAGTGCAAATGTGGACAGTCAGTGATCCTGTACGGCAAGATTGTTGTATAGTCAGTGATCCTCTGTCAGGGCTGCCACTTGTATCCTGGATTGCAGGGGAGAAATGACTCTATTTATACATATTTTTTAGTGTTATTAACAAGCAGCATTCATTGCTTTTAAAAAAGGGCAATTTTTGTTTGTGTGCTTGTGTGTGTGTGTAAATAGCTCATGTTTTAACGTGCTAGATCTCCGGCACAGTTTGGTCACTGCCCCATAAATTGTACCCCATCCCACAGTCTATCCTACGAATTTCCAGGCCAATCTGATGGGTAATCTAGAGAGGATGCAAATGTGGGTGTTCAACTGAAATTTTGCTGTGGCTTTAACCATGGGAGAGTCTTTCCTCATTCCACAGCTCCACCCACTCCACTGATACAAAGGGATGCCTTTTTTACATCATTAGCCAGTGGAACTCATTGTCACAAGATGTCACCAAGGCCAAGATCTCATTAGGATTGAATTTCATTAGTATTTGGTCACGTCTCAATTTCGGCAGCCCACACCCACTGTGCTGTAACCACATTCCCAAGGAAGGTTGCAGCTGGCTTTGTAGGTCATCTGCCCTGGAGAGGGGAAGGAGTGTTACCAGGTTGAAGCATCTAATGGATTTACAGTACCAAGAGAAGCTGGTTTTGCCACTAGGTGTGGTATGTGCTTATCATACAAATTTAGATGGGTGGGTGTGGCTCCCATTGACCCCTCCTCCCTTGGGTGTGGTTTCTCCTGCTGTGACATGTCGCCTCCTCCTTGAGCCATGTTTTTTTCCACCAATGACATGGCCCTCATGGGCTCCTCCCCTGAGTCCCACCTCTCTGTGGCAGGATTCCAGATGGTCTTGATTAGGGCTCTGATTTCCCCTGTGCTGCATGTACCTGAGTCTGGAGCCCTTACTCAGGCAAAGGTCATGGGAGGATTTCAGGATCGAGCCCTTCTTTTTATATTAAAGGATGTATGGGGGGAGTGGCAATCCAAACACCTGCTAATAGCAGTGGGCCTGAACCAGGGCCCTGGCTCTGTGCAGCTGGAGGGGAGAAGTTTGAAATCTGACCTGTGCAAATAGCCTTTATCTCTGCACCGAGCTGGGTGCGGCACTCCAAGAAACCCCAGTCTGAGCAATGCCCCAGCCTCCTCGGCAGCCGCTCCCAGAACTGGGGGAGCACTCCTAGGAACTCCAACATTGAACCCTTCTTGCCCGGTAGCCAGCGGCAAGGAAACCTGCAGTTCTGGGAGAACCCCCATCAGCTCTGTCCTGGAGCCAGAGGACATATGGGCCAGACCCGACGTCAGTATTATCATAGTAACGGATAAAGGCCCCAACAGAGCAGAGCCTCCATTGTGCTGGCTGCTGCATAAACACCTCCCCCACAATGCGATTGGGGCCCCCTGTGCACCAGCCACTGCACAGACCCCTTCCCCAACCCCGACTGGGGCCCCCAGTGTGTTGGGAGCTGTCCAGCATCAGAGGCTCCATTGCATCAGGCTCTGCACTCACACCTAGTGAGGGAGAGTCTCTGCTCCAACGAGCACATGGTCATACGGACAAAGGGTGAGAGGGGAAACTGAGGCACAGGAAAGGGAATAACTTGCCCGAGGTCACACAACAGATCAGCAGCACAGCCAGGAATTGAAGCCAGGTTTCCTGAATTCCAGTCCGGTGCCTTATTCATTAGGTCACACTGTGAGAGGCATGGGCAAGGCTCTATCCGAAAACCCGTATTCTCTCTCCTTGTGATCGCTCTGGATATACTTGGTGTATCAGACCTTCCCCTCCCTGAGGCTGGTTGGTATCTAAGCAAGGTTGCATCTGGCAGGTAAAACCCCTGCACTCCACTGATGGAAGTAGGGTGACCAGATCACAACACTAAAATATCGGGACACATTGGGGTGCTGTCAGCCCCGCCCACAGTCCACCCCCACTCCTCCCAGGCTCTGCCCCCACTCTGCCCCAGGTCCCGCCCCCTCCCTGCTCACTCCCCCCCGCCCTTCCTCATCCCCCAGCCCCGTGCTGGCTTGCTGCATCCCTCCTCAGTCCCCCACCCACTGCTCGCCTTTTCACCCTCCCCGCCTGCCACTCACATCTTCACCCCCCTGCCTGCCTCTCATCCCTACGGCGCCGACTTCCCCTCTCCTGGGTGGGTGCTCGCCCACCCCCCGCCTCTTCCCGCCCAAGCATCCGCCCTCCCTCCACCCCTATTCCACCCCCTTTCCCCAAGTCCCCGCCCCTGCCCTGACTCTTCTCCACCTCCTCCCCTGAACGTGCCACATCCCCGCTCCTTCCCCTCCCTCCTGGAAAGCGCTAAGCACCACCAAACAGCTGTTAGGCAGCGGGAAGCACTGAGGGGGGGAAGCGGGGATGCGGCACACTGTGGGGAGGGGGGGAGAAGGAGGCGAGGAGAAGGGAGCTTGGCTGCAGTTTTTCCCTCCCTCCCACTCGCCTCCTTACGTGAATATCGGGACAAATGGCATCCTGATCGTACATTGATTGGGACAAAGGGTTAAATATCAGGACAGTCCTGATTTTATCGGGACATCTGGTCACCCTAGATGGAAGGGAGCTCCCTGCTGATGTGTAGGGAGAGGAGTGGTCCCAGATCTGTTGCAGTGGAAATGCTCCCTTCACTAAGGCCTCTTGGACAGGAAGGGTCTAAAACAGGGAGTGGATTTCTCCTCCCCCACCCCTCCATGTGGTGATTCCACAGAGCTCTTCAGAGGGGAAGCCGAGGAGAAGCATGCCCAGTTGTCACCATACCCCAAACCTCAGCCAAGTTGGGATGTGGATCCAGCTTTGGACTGTCTCCCAGTTTGGGGGCGCTCATTGCTAGAGGGGGGTTTGATTGTGGGGTTCATCTCTGATCCGGTCTGGCAATTCCCATGTTCCTATATAAGATTGTACAGCACCTTGCACAATGGAGCTGGGACCTGGCTGAGGCTTTTAGGTGCTACCAGAGTATAAATGATTATTGATTATTTGTATTGCAGTAGTGCCTAGGAGCCCCGGTCAGGGACCAGGGTCCTGGTGTGCTAGGTGTTGCGTGGAACAGAAAGACAGTCCCAGCGCAAAGAGATTCCACTCTAAGGAGGTAATTGGGTAGGTGGGATTTCAAGAATTCCAGCTACCCAGGGAGATCCCTGCATGACTCAGCGCTACAGACCCACCGGGGAGGTACTTGCCTAATGGCATAACTCCCCCAGCTGTGGGTGAGTTGCAGACAGTCGTAGCTACAGGGACAAGACACTGGTGAGGAGCCTGAAGAGACCTGGTGTAGAGCCTGCATGTAGGCTGGGGTGAGGGTGGGATGACTCACGGGAGGCTGGGACTAGCACAGGTGCCACGGGGTTCGGAATGGCTGTTAAAGGTCAATTCAAATAGGTGGTAATTCCCCCTCCCCTTCAATGCAGGGCACCTGAATCCAACAGCCTGGTGGCTAGTGCTTGGAGAAGCTGAAACTGACCAGAGCCAGGAGGGGAAATTGACCGGGGGGGTCGCTGTCCTCTGCAGCAGGACATGCATGTGAAAGGCTGCGGCTGAAACTTTCCAACTGGATTGACTCAGCAGAGCCCCGAAGTCCCTCAGCAGAGCCAGCAACGGCAATGGGATCTTTCCTCTGAGTTCAATGGCAATCGGATCGAGCTTGCCATTCAGAGGTGCACTGCTGACTGCCCGTGGTGCCATCGGTCTCACTAATCCCGGCCTTTCTCCCTACCCCCCCATCTAATCCCATAGATTCAAGGGGGGGGGGTCAACAACCTCCCTGTCCCTCCTCAGAGAGGCACAGATTTTCAGGCCAGAGGGGACCATCTAGTCTGACTTCCTGTCTATCACAGGCTACCAGCACCCACACACCAAACCCAACCACGTAATGAGACCGGAGTACCACAGGAGAGCAGACTGCAGACTATTACATGCCACAGGGCCAGGCAGAGGAAAGGAGGGACTGAGGTGCACCAGGGCCCGAGGCCTCCGTAATGGCTGGGAGATGTTTAAGTGAGCTATGCCCAGATAATCCTGGCAAGTGCCCTGCACCCACATGCTGCAGAAGAAGGTGGAAGCTCATCAAGGTCCCTGCCAATCTGACCTGAGGGAAAATTCCTCCCTCACCCCACATATGGCCATCACCGGGACCTGGAGCACATGCACAAGAACCACCAGACAAGCACCTGACAGAGGGAGAATGCTTGGTGCCAACTCAGATCCCTGGCCCACCCTGCCCACTGGCCCATCTGGCCGTCTCCAGCCCTGATGCATCAGAGGAGGGAGATTAAAACAAAACTCTTCCAGAATACATGGAGGCGGTGGGGAGGGAATCCCTTCCTGAGCCCTGACGGTGGCCAGCTGTAACCCTGAGGCACATGCTATTAGGAACATAAGACCCAGGGGTGCTGAGCCCTGCTCCCCACCATCTCCAGCAACCCCATCACACAACTGCCCTTATCAGTGTGTCCAGCTCCCTCTTAAAACCAACTCATCCCAGCCCCTGTGGCCTCCCTCCACCCCCAGCTTCCCTTCAGTTATCCTGCTGCTCACCCCTAATCCTAGCCCTTCTCCCCCAGTCTTCCTCCCTAACCCCATAGGATACCCAACAGGGGGCATTACACCCCCCTTCCCCTGCCACCATCCAGCCCTGTCTGCATCCCAAATTCCCTTCAGCAGGCATCTGACTGGGGGAGGGGGCTTAGCTGCTCCCTCCCCCACGCTGCATGTGGGCCCCGGGCCAGGCCACAGATCTGACAGGAACCGGCCACACCCCACTCGCATGGCAACTGGCCAGGAAACACTCCAGGACGGGGCCCAGTGGCACTGCCTCCTGCTCCATCTCTCACCCCCTGGCTCCGAGTCACCAGCAGGAAGAAGATGGGGACGGACTGGAGCTTTAGGGCCGGGGTTGAGGGTGCATCTCAACCTAGGCCCAAGGTGGCTGCCTGGGGGGGGCTTTGCCACTGGCCGAGGGTGGAGGGGGGGTTAGGAAGTGAGGTGCTAACGCCCCCAACACAACCCAGTCCCACCCCCATCTCTGCCTTATAGACACACAAGCCCCCTATCCCCCCAACAGCCCTTACACACCCCACACATCCATCTCAACACATACTACCTCCCTCCCACCCCCTCCCCAATAGACCCTGCCCCCCACAGCTCTTCCATGCCCTGGGGATGGCTATCCATCGCCATCTGCTGGCTGACACTGTGTGAGCAGCACCAGAGCTCAGCAGCGAGAGCTCTCCACTGCTCTGGATCCCACCCCCTGGGTTTGTGTTGGAGCACATTCAGGGATTGGAGTTCTTTTTCCATTAGCCAAAGGACTGGGCTCATGATCCCGGCAGCGCCTCACCCCAAAGAACTTTCTACAGTTAGTGTGACCAGACAGCAAGTGTGGGGAGTAATAGGAGCCTATATAAGAAAAAGACCTGAAAATCGGGACTGTCCCTATAAAATCAGGACATCTGGTCACCCTATCTACAGTCCCTCAATCCCACTGCCGGCCTCGGCAGATAATCGTTACCCTTTGGATCTACTGGGAGCTGAGGGCAGGACGCCACAGGCTGTGTCTGTTGTATTATAAACGGGAGGGAAATAAAAACAATCCAGAAGAGACCCTTGGATCCACCCCCACAACCCAGTTAGGGAGAGAACCCAGGAGTCTTGATTCCCAGCCTTCACTCCGCTCTAACCACTGGAACCTATTCCGCTTCCAGTATGAGGGATAGAACTGATCCTCCCTGCACTGACCACTGAGGGCCTACAGCTGGGCACAGAACCCAGGAAATCTTGCCTCCCAGGCCCTGGTCTGGTGGCTGGAGCATGGGGAGCTGAGACTCAGGACTGCTTGCATCCTGTTGCCAGCTCTGTCTCTGACATGCTTTGTGACCTTCAGCCTTCTGTGCCTCAGTTTCCCCATCTGTCCAAGGGGAGGGGTGGTCATTACCCCAGCGGCGGGTCTAATGAGGGAAGTGCTTTAGATTAGAGTTGGCTGTAGCCTTTTGCTAACACAGCTCTCCCCAACCAGCCCATGAAACAAATGAGGAAGTCATGCTCCCTCCTTTCACAATCCTTCCCCTGCTCCCTGGAGCTGCCATGGAGACAGGAGAGAGAGACACTCCAACCGGCCGGATGTGAAGGGCTCTGGCTGGGG